CCACCACCTTACATATGTATGCATCCGAGCGCACTTGTTCCGTGCTCTTCACCACCAACACCTCACAAGGCCACGTCTTTTCGCGTGGCGCGTTCCCCCCATCGTTCAAAGTCGTCACTGGCGTCTCCATCGAATGACGAGGCGAGCTACGAATAGTACTTAGCTGCTATTACTGCGGGTGCTACGCAACTCGGCCCCAGTCTGCTGGCACAACCCGCAACGGCGCCGTCTCTCTTTTGTGCATATCAAGTGGAGAGACAGAGAAAGGACAGCGGGCTTAGCGTCCGTAGTAGGCTGCTCTGGCCATCCTTGGTCTGACAGTTCTCACTGGTCCGGGGGGTTCTGGGACTGGGAGACTAGCAGACTCGGAGAGGAGGGGGGGCTGATGCGCTCTCCTCTCCTCTCCTCTCTCTGTGCTCCGTGGCCCATGGGTCTCAGCTCCCCCTCATCCACTCTCTGCGGCAATCGCCGTATGACAGCTGCCTGGGGGTCCCTTCAGCACATTTAACTCGTGTCCCTGACGAATGTTCCATTTCAAGCGAGTGCGAACAAACGGGGTCAGGGTCGTCCATGTCTCCCCCGACCACCTCCTACTGTTTCGTTTCGTCTCTCCATGTAACCATCCATACAATACCAACTATCTAACCACGACGATTTCCGCCCCCTCTCATTAGATCTCTTTCTCAGCATTCTCGACCAAGTGCCATATCGACACATCCTTCGCAAATAGGTTACTTGACTACTTCTTCCCCTATCGTTCAGGCAACTCATTTGCCTGAACCCCAACCACAGATACTGGACGACCAACTCTCCCAGATCGCCTCGGCGCGATCCACTCTCTCCTCTGCCAAGCGGACGCAATCCGTCGAGTCGTCGACAGATTCTTCTTTGCGCTCCAAACGCAGTTTCACAAGTCTTGTGCCACCAAAGAAAAACACCACGAGATCGCCGTCCCCCGTTGGCCGTCTCAAAGGTGTTTTTACAAAGTCAAAAAAGACTCCCAGTGCCGCTACAAGCCCCGACCGGTCCCTGGGCGGTGACGAAACCCCCGACCACGACCGAGACACGCGGAGAACAAGAGACCGAGGCAGAGCCACTGCTTCCACCTCTGACCTCACCACAACCACAAAGCCGTTTCTAGACAATCCGACCCCACCACAACCGAATGCGACGAGCGACGCAGATGCATCTCGCGTAAAACAATCAACAACGCATTCACCTGAGCGACGTCGCTCCAGGGCCTCCACAAACACATCTCGAATCGACACCTCCTTCGTACCCCAAACCCCGCCCAACGCCGACAAGACGCCCGTCATCGTCAACACCCCTCCGACACCGACCGACCACAACGCACCCTACGCTCAATCTCCTCCGCCGGCCCCAGCTCCGCAGCCCGCTCCCGAAGTTTCTGTCACTGCCTCAGGCAACACGAATGGTGGTTCTGCCACGGGTACTATGCTTGCTCACCGCAGGGGTAGATCAGGATCTGGAAGTATAGGGCCTAGCAAACTGTCCAACATAACCCTCGCGCCTTTGACGCCCACCCCCGAGAACGGGACCGCAAGCAACCCAGGAACTCCATCCGGCGGAAGCGGATTCTTTTCATCCGTCTTTTCGGCTGCACAAAACGCCGCGACCTCGCTCACAAGTACCATCCAGAATACCGGCATAGGACCGACCCCTCCCAAGAACAAGAACGTAGCTAAACCCCCCGATATCAAGATCGACGAGCAGCCCGAGGTCGAGCCGCCACCTCCATCCGCAACAGGCTCGACCATGGAGAAAGAGCCAGCAGTCAAGACCATTGGGTCGGGCGAGCTCAGCCTCAGTCAATTAGGTATAACGGACACAGCCAGCAATGCAGGAACGCCCATTACAGCAAAATTCCCCGAATCGGACGCACGAGCTAGAAGCGAGTCAGCCCCGACAGACGCTGCCTATGCCGCTGCCACGCGCGACCTCGGAGTAGACGACGGCCGAAACGCGGCGAGACCCCAATCACTGTACGATCCAGGAAGTGCCGGGGACCGAACCCCTCCGCAAGGCAGCATACACGAAGACAAGATTTCAGGAGTCCAACGAAGTGGAAGTATTCGAAGCGCCATTGGACGCCATCGCAAGCGAGGAAGCTCAGCTGTGTCGGGAGGTACGGCTACTACTATTGGCGCTGCCATTGCTGCGGCTAACGCGTCTCTTGCTCACCCTCAAGCCAACGCGAGCGTACCGAAACTTACGGGATTCGCGGTTGCGAGCAAGAAGCGCAATCGAGATTTCCATGGATTTTTCAAGAGCGTGCCCGACGACGATTACCTCATCGAAGACTACAGCTGTGCGTTGCAGCGCGAGATCCTGGCGCACGGCCGCCTGTACGTATCCGAAGGCCACTTGTGCTTTAGCAGCAACATCCTCGGCTGGTCGACCACGCTTGTCATGAGCTTTGACGAAATAGTAAGCGTTGAGAAGCGCAGCACGGCCCTGGTTTTCAAGAACGGACTCATGATCACGACCCTACATGCCAAGCATATTTTTGCCAGTTTCACCAGTCGAGACTCGACTTACGACCTAATTGTCAATATTTGGAAACTTGGTCACCCGACCCTGCAAAGCTCGCTAAACGGAGTGCAGCTCGAGGGTACTGGTGGTGACAAGACAGAAAAGGTTGACGCGAATAGTGCAGTGGTAGCAGATGTTGATGATGGTAGTTTGTCCGGCACCGATGAAGAGAGTGATTCTGGCGATGACGACGACGTTTACGACGAAGATGACGACGCAGAGGACTTGCAAGATGTCACGCAACTGTCAGAAGTCAACGCTGAACCCGAAGGTGGAAAGACCGTCTCTCGCAAGGTATCTGGTGCAGGTGCTAATGGCGCTGTCGCCGATGTCGTCAAGGAGGCTGTCGGTGCTGCTCCAGGCGGCAATGACTTCCCTGGTCCGGCCACTCATGCGCCAACCGATTGCGGAGACTCTGACACGCATTACGACAGGGTTGTCGGCGACGATGTCATTCCTGCGCCCTTGGGCAAGGTGTATAACTTGCTCTTCGGTCCAGCCTCGGTCACCTGGATGACAAAATGGCTCACTGTTGAGGCCAAGTGTACAGAGTTGACCATGGAGGACAAGAAGGGGCTGACTCTCGACAATAAGTCTCGGTATTTCACTTACATTAAGCCTCTCAATGGTGCCATCGGTCCGAAGCAGACAAAATGTCTTGTAACGGAGACCTTGGATCATCTTGATTTTGAGAAAGCCATCAACTTTAGCGTCACCACACAAACCCCAGATGTACCGAACGGCAACATTTTCAGCGTCAAGACAAAGTACTGTTTGACGTGGGCCGACAACAACTCTACCAGAGTGCAATCCAACTGCACTATTGAGTGGACGGGCAAGAGTTGGTTGAAGGGTAAGTTGAAGTTTTTCCCTACGTCAATGGCATGAGCTAACATGATGAAGGTCCTATCGAAAAGGGAGCCAATGATGGCCAGACCCAGTACTGCAAAGACCTCTTTGCTAGTCTGAAATCAGCTGTGTCTACTAAAGCCCGCGCTGGCGGTGCGGGAGCGGGCTCAGGCCCCAAGGGCAAGAAGAAGAGTAAGAAGAGCAAGGCGGCCGGCTCAACAACAGACGCCGAAGACGAGCAGGTTCGTCCAAGACATGTTCCCAAGACGAATTGGGGCCCATTGGAGCCTGTCCGCGGCATTCTCGAGCCAATTCTCGACATTGCCAAACCACTACTCACGGGCAACATGATGTATGGCCTCCTAGTTGGCCTTCTCGTTGCTACGTGGTTTGGCTTTGGCCTGCCTGGCAGACAAGCGTCTGGAGACATGCGCATGTATGGTTTTCCGGATCGTCTTGCGGCGTACGACGAGATGTGGAGGCGCGAAGAGAGTGAACTTTGGGAGTGGCTGGAGGAAAGAGTTGGGTTGGAGCGCTTGCACGAAGGCAGCTTGCCCATTCGGAAGCGAGCAATGGAGCCAAGTACTGTGGAGGAGAGGGTCAGAGAGGATCGTATGGATGAGCGTGAGATTGAAGAGGCAATCAAGGTGACGGAAGAGAAGCTTAAGGTGTTGAAGGGCGTCATGGACAAGAAGAAGCCAACATCCGGTTGAGGAAATACCCTAGGAACGGGAGGCGGAAAAGTGCAGCGAGTCAGGTTACGACACGACACAACGTGTCTTCTCATTTCTATGTTTTATTGTGTAGCATATTCAGTAGCGATGCCAACGAGCAATCAGGGCTTGAGTAGATCAGCATCAGCAATGTCATTTTATATCGACAACCCACTTGTCAGTCGTGCCGCAAGGTCTTTTGGTGTTGCATAAGTTGCTGCAGTAAGAACTTTGAACCGACCATTTGACGATGACGATAGATGCGAAGCTGTGGCATGGTCAATCATCTTCAGTGCCAGTCAGATTCGCTAACTTACCTACTGTGAGAGCCAGTTTCTTGATCGGGATTCAAGAGACAAAGGCTGTTTTATCTTTGCCTTATTTTTGAAAGGCAGGCACAGAGAACCGTTGCCTGCTCCTGAGCTTTGGAATACACCAAGCAAGCGAGTAGGCAGTACCTACCCTAGAAGAGAGAAGAGACGCGTCTTCTTGGCCTCTCTATGTTCGTTCGACCTTCTGACTTTTTGCCGGCAACAGGGGCACGGCGGGAAGGATCATCTCTTCGCGACCCTAGAGAAACCGCGCCTCGTTCTCACATTACTATCGAACCGGACTGGAAGGCACGCCTCTATCCACCTCCCTCCTTTTGAGCAGCAGGTGCTTGCCTACCTCGATCTTGTTCTCTTCTGCCACTTCACAAACCTCGAAGACGCAGCTTGCCTCTATCGAACACGACAACATTATCCGTCTTCCTCCGCCAACTATCCAACATTGTCTCGAGTTTATTCTTCGTATCCTCATGTTTTTGTCTACTATTCCATCACCTTAATTCTCCACTACTCGAGGTCCTTGATATCGTAGACAATTCACGGAGGGAGACTCAACATGGCAGGCAACCACAACGACGGCAACCCTGCCCGTGTGTGGCTCCGCGACGATGCCTGCATGCGGACCATTGGCAGACTCTGCAATCTCGGCGTCGCCGACCTTATTCCACTACCGCAAGTTGTCGTGGTAGGTGACCCGTCTTCGGGTAAGAGTTCTGTCCTGGAGTGTATGACGGGTTTGGCCTTCCCCCGCGGTCCTGAGCTCTGCACCCGTTACGCGACCCATATTACTTGTCGCCGCGATGCCTACGAGAGCGTCCAGATCTCTATTATTCCGAGCCAGGATTCCAACGAGGATCGAAAGGAGCGACTGAAGAAGTTTGGATTCTCTGTCAAGAAGAACGACCTGGCGTTGGCGGATGTCTTTATGAAGGTAAGTAAAGCCCGCATTGGGAGGCCACCGTCTTGATGCTGATAAGTACGACCTCCCTCAGGCGAACGAAGCCATGGAACTTCGCGGTATCAACGATGGGGATGCTTCAAAGCTACCGATCTTTGCTGAAGACATTCTCAAGATTGAGATCAACAGCCCGGACGTACGTTCAAGTCTGACGTTGTCGATTCATGAAACTTTCTGACCTTGAAACACCAGCAATATCACTTGACCATCATTGATGTCCCGGGTATTTTCCGCACGCCTACAAAGGGCCTGACCACCAACAATGACATTGCTATCGTCAGAAACATAGTGAACAGATACATCAAAGATCAGCGTACCATCATTCTGGCAGTCATCCCTTGCAATGTCGACGCATCAACCCAGGAGGCTCTCACTCTTGCCAAAGAAGTCGATCCAGAGGGGCTGCGAACTATAGGTGTTCTCACCAAGCCCGACCTTGCTACCGAGCGCGTCACTCAGCAGATCGTATGCGAACTTATTGAGGGCAAACGCCATCCCCTCCGCCTTGGATACTGTGTGGTGAAGAATCAGAGCGACGACGAAGGAGCCTCAACGAAGACAGATCGAAACGCATCGGAGAAGGCGTTCTTTTCTGCTCGTCCGTGGAACAGGATCAAATCGACATTTCGGGTTGGTGTTAGCGGCCTCGGTATCCGTCTGCGAGACTTGCTTGGCGACCTTCTCAAGAAGGATCATAAGAACATCGAGGCCAATATACATCGTAGACTCAATAACACTGAAACTTTGCTCAGTCGCCTAGGTCCTTCACGATCTCGAGCAGATGTTCAGCGACGATACCTTGCCAATATTGCATCAGGTTTCCAAGAGGTTTGTATTCGAGCTCGGGACGGAAATTACAGCGGAATGGGCATGTTCCAATACGACGCACACTTTCGACTCATCACATGCGTCGTCAATCTGAATGAGGCATTCAATAAGGTCCTCACATTGTATGGCCATACACATGAGTTTGACGGCCAAAGCTAGGAGGAGGTCGAGCCTGTTCCTGGATTCAAAGTGCCTATGGACGAGCAGTCAACTCGTTGTCTCGGCGATATCCTGAAGCATATGGATTTCAAATGCCCCAAGCCAGTAGAAGGCTTACTTTTGGGCCGCATTGAATTTCTCTTTCATCGATCTCGCACTGCCGAGATTGGCTCGGTAAGTACCATTATGACAACATATCACGCTCAGCATTAACAAAAGTCTAGTTTCCAGGCTCATTGCTAGCACAGACCTTCAAGGAGCAGACCCAGAGGTGGGCGCCCCTGGTTTTGAAGCATGTTAGTCAGGTTATCGTGGTCATTCACAAGTTCATTCGCATAACACTGCAACGCAAATGTGAAGGCAACAGCAACACTTTTGAGATGTTGCATGACCATCTTCTGTTGCCGAAGCTCCGTGCAGCTTATCAGCGAGCTTTGGATCATGCTCAGTTCCTCCTTGAAGTCGAGCTTAGTGGACAGCCCTACACCATGAACCACTACTTCGACAGCAATCTCCAAGTTTCACAGGCCACCAGACTTCAGCAAGCGATCAACAAGGCCATTGGCCCGGAGAGCGTCCGAAACGTCGATGGTGCTACTGCAAGCAAACCGAGCACGGACGCAAGTCCTGCTTCCGGAGAAAACACGCTGGGAGCGAACAACTATAACGGAAGTCCCTTCGATTTTACGTCTCAGCTAGAAGACGGGTCTTCCGGAGCTGCAGGCTGGTGGGTGCCAAAGTCAATGCTCTCCAAGCTTACAACCGATCGTTCCAACGCTGAGCAGGTCAGAGAGGATATCCACGACGCCCTCCGTAGCTACTACATGGTCGCTCGGAGGCGATTCGTTGATGTTGTGCTGCAGCAGGTCATATTTCACTTCTTGCTCGATTCCAAGACCAGCCCTCTCAAGATTTTCACACCTGACCTAGTCATGAGCCTGGATGACACGCAGCTCAAGATGATTGCCGGAGAGAACGCAGCGACGCGGGATAAACGCGAGGTTCTCACTCAAAACATTTTGAACTTGAAGCTCGCGCTGCAGGAACTGGAAAATACCAAGTAAGATTCCCTAGGGGTTCAAGTCGTGTTGGTTTCCAAAGGTTCTGGGTTTCCATAGGTACCATGGCTTATCAGGTGTGCATCATCAACCTTGATTCGTAGAGATACAGAAAAGAAATTGTGGGTTTCGTCCGTCATCAATTCAGCCTTGGAGCAACAAAGCCGATGCAAGTGAAAAGAGCGTATGCTCTTCCATATTTAAGTTAATCTTCCAAAGAGGCTTTCTACTAGCCAATGATGTGACAAGGTGTCTTGCCGCTAGGGAATTATCTTATGTGTAACAGATGGCGAAGACCCAAATAGCTTCTGCTCGGCCCGACCATCATGTTCCCGTGAATGACTATCCCCTCAACGAGGATTTGCTTGGCATACATCTTGTCGTTGCTGTAAATTGTGAATAACGAAGAGAGAGAAAGGAGAAGAGAGAGAGAGAGAAAGAGAGAGAGAGAGAGAGAGAGAGAGAGAGAGAGAGAGAGGGAGAGAGAGAGGGAGAGAGAGAGAGAGAGGGAGGGAGACAAAGATTGAGAGAGACCACCACAAAGCAAGACACAATTTGCAATCCAAATGTAAAGCCCTATGTTCCCGCAGCCTGCTTACTACTTGGTCTAATTGCCAACGGTCTTGGCGGATGCCGCCGGACAACGCAGATGTCGCGCCCGAGGAACTCGGCGAGGATATCCGGGCCCGTACCAAGTCCACCGCGTGCAACCGCCGGAAGTCATCGCCGTGTCGCGATCTAGCACTGTTGTAGTGGGGCGCCGAAGTAAATTATAAATCAGTCGCATGGATTCTTCCGCTCTCTCTGCCTTGTGTTCATTACGGAATATACTTTGGGAGACGTAGAATGAAACATTGTAAGCGTGAAACTCTGTATTATGTCCTGGTGAACGGACTTCATCCTAGTTAAAAGGTGTTTGATCTCTTGGACCGTGTTGGCGTGATCACCAAGACCACCGACGATGTTGTGCTACTATGGTCTTGGCGGTCTTGTTCTTGTGAGGGCGGACGGATATGTTGGAGTTGCTGTCTGATATGACTGTTACTTCGTCTTTAGAATCGTCGTCGCTTGATTGTTCGCGTTCGGATTGTTCTTCGTCGTTCGAGTCGATCACGGTGATGAGGTTCTTGCGAGGTGAACGTCGGACGACGGCGTTGCTTGCGATGGTCGCGTTGGGCGTCGCGGGCCTGGTGTTGACGTTGGGCGTTTAATGAATAAGCACAAGGAAAGGAATACTTATTTTTTAGAAGGTGAAAAAAGTTCGTGTGGAATAGATAATGGATTCGGATGCGGCTGGTCTGACTACAACGACTAGGGAGATGAAGAGTTTGATGCCATGGAGTCTAGACACGGACCTGTCTTTCTTAGTAGTGCTTGTGACAGTAAGACACGCATCTGTCTCTGAGTTTTCATGCTAGGTAGAGAACGAAGATGACCTTGCACCCTATAGGTCAGCTATGTTGTCTGATGTCTCAGTGTGGCGTAATTCCGCATGAAAAAGGCACTTCCAGCTGCTTTTGTGTAACATCAACTTTTAAACCAAGCGTCTGAGTTCTCCGGAAAGTAGAATCTTAATTGACATGTTTTAATTGATCCTATTACATTGCGACCCAGTCCACGCAAGAGCAATCATGCCGACCTCATCTCTCTCCTCAAAAAGACGTGAAGCGCAACATACGACACCACACCCGTAAAACACAACCCGCTAATTACCCCAAATCCCATCAGATATTTAGGCGCATCCTTGGAAGGGAACAGGTACGCCCCGTAAATCTGCGCCAGGTTTCCCATGGCATTCACAAACGCCAGCGAAATTGCCCTCGTCTCGTTGGGCATGGACCCGAAGCTCACCGAGGCGTACGAGAGCGCGAGTCCGTTGGAGGCCCAGAGCCCGGAGGCCATGACGACGAGCAGCGCGTAGCGCGCCTTGAAGTCGTAGACGACGCAGGTGACGACGGCGCAGAGCATGGCGACGGTCATCCAGGCGCCGAGGATGAGGCCGCGGAAGCGCGAGTGGCGGTCGGCGAAGTAGCCCGTCACGGCGGTGGAGACGAAGGCGATGCCGAAGATGGGGATGGTCATGTATTGGGCGGCTGTGGATTTGTAGCCGAGGCCTGAGACGAGGGTCGGGTAGAAGTAGGAGAGTGTCGAGGAGCCGACGATGGCCTGTGGTGGAAGGGAAGATGTTAGCTTTGATCGTGGAAAAAGGGGTTATTTGGTCTGCAAAACAAACTCACCATGTAGCCGACGACAAAGAGCCAAGTCCTCCAGCTCATCATGCTGAGCTTAAAGGCAGCCCAATGTCCCAGGCGAGGCTCCTCTTCCGTCCTAAGATGTTCCGCCGCACTCTGGAGCCTCCGAATCGCCAGCTCCCTCTCCTTTTCACTAAACTTTTTCAACGAAGTATTCGCAGGGAAATCAGGCAGCGCAAAAAACGCAACCAACGCAGCGCCCACCGTCGCCGCCCCTTCAACGACAAACAACCACCGCCACCCGGCGATCCCGTGCGCCCCGTCCAGCCCGCTCGTGATGGAACCCGCCAACAACCCGCCAAAGGCGCCCGACAAGATGGCGGCCGAGATGTAGACGGCGAACCTCTTGCTCTGCTCCTCCTTCTTGTACCACGACGAGAGCAATAATAAAACGCCCGGAGCGAAGCCGGATTCGAGGACGCCCATGACGACGCGGAAGCCGATTAGGGCTTTGTAGGTGGGGGTGAAGGCCATGCCGATGGTGACGGAGCCCCAGAGGCACATGATGCCGGGGAGGTAGAGGGAGGGGCGGGTGCGGGTTAGGACCATGTTGGAGGGGACTTCGAAGAGGACGTAGCCTACGAAGAAGACGACGAGGGCGATTGAGTAGCGGGAGGAGTCGAGGTCGAGGTCGCGGTCCATGCCGGCGATTTTGGCGTTGCCGATGCTGCGGATATTGTCAGTTGATGGGGTTCGAGGTTGTGTTTTGGTGAGAGCGTACTTTGTTCTGTCCATGTAAGATAGGAGATACTGCAAGTCGTCAATGTTAGAATCGTGTTTTCGAGAGAGTTAGTCTGATCATGTTACGAACCATGACGAAGATTAGAGGAAGCAAGTAGAGGTCTATCTTGCGGACCAATTTCTTCTCTTCATCGCTGTCGGCGACATAGTCGTCTACGCCCACCAGCTCCACGCCTTTGGAGAGAGCATGTTCATGCTCGTTGCTTGCAGTCTCGTTCTTCTCCATTGTCGACAACGTTCTGTGAGTTGACTCAGAATTTGGTAACAAGACCCTTTGGTACTCTTGAAATCTTCAAGAGAACTTTTGGATAAAAGAAGTATAGAAGCAGAGTTCCAAACAGATGCCCGGAGTTGCCAACCGAAAGCCAACCGAGAGCAACTGGCAAGGAAAAGCGTCTTATGTATTTCACAACTGCCTCACTAATTCTCGTATATTTGCTTCGGCCGAGACAAGAGAATGGTCAAAACGAGACTTGCTACCGATAGCGTCCGAGTAATACTTGTCAGCTTTGATGGAAAACCTGCCTCGGTCTTGAGTGCGGCGTGCCGCCCTTGCCAGCTTACCAGCTTACACGCAACTTGCCTAGAGGCAGCCTGGTTTCGTATGGTGGTCGTACGACCAACGAGGATTCGTAGATCATCTGAACTAAGTCATTTGGCATGTTTTCTCCCCCAGTCTGGGGAACCGGGGGCCCTCAGACGAATCTTCCGAATTTTGCGGGGTCTGGGGGAGGGAGACCCCGGAAGAGCAATCAACTAGCAAACTAGCGCAAGTCAGATGGACGGCGTGCTGCCGCGACTCGGGGACAATGAAAAAGAATGGGGCTGGGAATAATCGAAACTAGCCCAGTTCTTAGGAGGACCGCGTCTCGAGGCAAGCGGCTTCCCGGGAGTGGCTTGCAACATGCAATGCGAACACCAGCTCGTGGTATCTTTATCGTATGTGTAAGAAGTTGAGGAACATGCGGCTGTGAGTGACAAACACGGTCCGGAGTTACCACGCGACGACCCGTCTACAGCCGATCCGGAAGCTGCATCCGCACCGGACCGCGTGTCGGGAGCCTCCTGGTGTTCGATCTCTGACGAACCCCACGGCGCCGGCGAGTCTTGCGTTCATCAACGTTCCCCTCGCCCGCTCCTCTGTTTACTTAAGGCAAGGAAAGGTGTTCTGCATCTCTCAGCTTACTATACTATCTCAAAGTCAATTCACCAGCTCTGTTAGTCGTTGCATCTGAATCAAAGCCGGCTTCACTCGTTCTGTTCTGCGCATCACACACATTATCACCTTCACAATGACTGGCTCCTCTGACCAAAATGGCAACGGGACCGCCGCGATCCCCACCAACGGCACCACCAACGGCACAAACGATGCTCCGGCCTATCTCAGCACACTGCCTCCAGCCGGCGCTGACTGGAAGGTCTCTCTCAAGGACAAAGTCATCGCAAGTAAGTGCCCTCATGCAATATAAAGCAGGGAGGTTGTTCACCTACTAATTAACGCCGTCCACGAAAAGTTTCGGGTGCAAACCAGGGCATCGGCCTAGGCATCGCAGAAGTCTGCCTCGCCAACGACGCCGCATGCGTGTACAGCCTGGACATCACCGAGCCGGGGGAGCACTTCGCCGCCCTGCTCAAGCGGTTCCCCGGCAAGCTCGCGTTCCAGCACTGCGACGTGACGGACTACGGGAGCGTCGCGGCGGCCGTCGACGCCGTGGTGGCCGTGACGGGTCGCTTCGACGGCATGGTTGCCAACGCCGGCGCGACCAAGCACCAGCCCGCGCTCGACTTCACGCCGGAGCAGTTTGACCGGCTCTTCAAGCTCAACGTCAACGGGTCTTGGAATTGTGCGACGGCCGCCGCAAGAGCGTTTATCAAGCTCGGGTGCAAGGGGAGCATCGTCTTCACTGCGAGCATGACTTCGTACAGACCGAACCGGGTAAGTCCTTGTGTGCATGTGTGTGAGGGTTGAGGTGATGGAAGATGAGGGGGTTTCCCTGACTGACTGGCTGATCA